GAACGCGGCGAGCAGGGAGGAAGGAGGGGGCCAGGCGAGGGAGGCGGTGCCTGGGCCCAAGCCGCCCAGCCCTGGCTCCTCTCCCCGGAACAGGCCCCCGACAGCTGCTCTAGGAGCCGCCGCCGACACTCGAGCCTCGCCGGCGCCTCTGCTCCCGCTCCTGGCTCCCGCCGCCTCCCCTCCCCTCGCCCCGTTGCCGCCACCGAGGCCCCACTCCGAGGCCGGACGCGTGGGTCTGCGGGAAGAGCGATGAGAGGTAGGGAGAGCGGCGGAGGACGCTGCGGGGCCACCGGGCTAGTGCGGCAGCCGAAGGGTGGGGATCTGGGCGGGGAGGCAGGACGTTTCGGGCTGCACTTGGTTGTCCAGCGTCTTGAAGTCTGTTCCTGCCCGCCTCCCCCGTGCTCTGGCTTACTGCCTGCAAATGCGGGAACCCCTTGACTTCAGCAAGTGTGTTCCAGCATTGAGGAAGGACCTCCCTTACTCAGTATGGAAGACAGGTGCTTGTATGGCCCCACTGAATCATCTTCTCAGCCCCTAGAGGAGTGGGCCCACCCTTCCCACCTGGCCAGTGCCTCCACCCAGCCAGCTCCCAGTTGGGTAGCCTGGCCACAGCCCAGCAGAGAGGGACTGGAACCCTAACCTGCCAGTGGCAGCTGCTCATCCACACTGGATGGTCAGTTCTGCCAGAGTATCTTCAGTGTCCCTTCCCCTACTCCAACCCCTCCTCCCCCGCCAGCCTTCACTCTACAGGTCCCCTGATAGCTGGACATTCCTTTCCAGCACCTCCATCCTCAGAGTCTGGTGCTCAGACTCGCTATTGCTGAGGGCACATAGTTGTGTCCAGAGTTGAGTAGTACAGTGGAGACAGGTGAAAGCAGAATGTAGGGGAAAATGGCTCTTCCTTACTGCTACTCCAGCTGTCTAAGTTCTCCGTCCCCTTGACTTCTCTCTGACTTGGTAACCATGTGTATTAGGTGGTGCCCTCCAGTTCTCTTGGGATCCTGCCCTCTGGGGCCAGAGTATGTCTCACACCGCTCTCTGTTCACAGGAGTATGTGGTATCTGTCATTTCATGTTCACAGGTGTCTGAAGATGGCTCTTCACTAAGTAATGGGCTTAGACTTTAAAGAAGGTTGATGTGTGTGTGAGCATCTTTGTGTGCCCTGGCTGGGTGTCTTATGTGTGTAAGTCTGTCACATGTGAGTGTCTGTTACTAAAAATCTGTGACAGGTTGTCTTTGTGTTGCAAGTAGCCCGTGTTTACAGTGAGGTCTGTAAGTTCACGTGTTTGATCACGTGTGTGTGTGTGTGTGTGTGTGTGTGTGTGTGTATACAGAGCTGTGTGAGTGTTGTCTGGGGTGGGAGTTGGGAGAGGAAGGTGAAGGACCTGCCTTGGTGTCCTGCCCCGTTTGTAATTGGTTGTAATGGGTCGGGGTGGGGTTGGGGTAGATCTTCTGGGCCTGTCCTCCTGGAGTCTAACCCAGTGGAGAGAATGGGGGGATAGGGGTATCAGAGGATTGCCCCAAGCGGCTGTGCTTTTCTCTGTGGTGCTCTGTACACTTCCAAGCCTGCTCTATTTACCTCTTGCTTTGTGTTTCTCCTCCTGCTTCCCCCTGCCTCCCCCTGCCTCTTCTTCTCTGCCTGTCTTTGTATCTCTGCTTGGGTTCCTCTTGCTCTGTCTAGCTCCGATGACTCATCTGGGATAGGCATGAAGGTTACTCAGGGGAACAAGGGCCCCGCTGTTCCTGACAGTAGTCGGAGTGGAGAGCGGCACCCAGGAATTCCAGGCCCCAGTGTGTGGTTCCTGGACCCCCAAGGGTCCAGGTTCTAGCTCTCTTTCAATACCAGGGTGCCCCCTGCAACTCAGTCAGCACCTTCAGCTGCTGCTTCAGAGCTGTGGGGTCTCAGCTGCCTCTTACATTCCTGCCCTAAAGCATTGTGGGAGCAGCTGGATGAAGACAAAGGGATGGGGGAGTATCCCCCACTCCTCTTACCTCCTGGGGTGACCTGGCTTCCCTGTCTTTAGACCACCCTCATCTCCAAGGCAACTCAGTCTTTTTCTCAGCCCTGGGCTTCTTTGGAGGCAACCCCCTTTAGAAAGTGGGAACCGGTGGGGCAGGTGGTCTGGTCTTAGAAAGGGAAGGCAGAGCAGGGAGAGCTGGAGTATGAAGGCAGGGCCTAGAGAACTCAGTGCAGACCTGAGAAGAGGACAGGTCAGAACAGCTTTTCCTGCACTGGGGCTGGAGAGGGTAGAACCTAGATTCATAAAGAATCTAGCTGGAATGGTTTTAGGTGGGGCAAGTTGCCTGGGCCCCAGTGACGAAGAGCAGGGGTTCTCAAACTTTCATGGGCACAGATCACGGGAACATTGTGTTAAAGTGCAGACTCTACAGGAGGTCTAGGATGGGGCCTGAGATCCTGCATTTCTCCCAAGCTCCCATGTGTCACTGAGGTGGCTTGGTGCAGGGACCACACTGGGCCTAGCCGGGCTACAGAGGACTGTGGGATTGGAAGGTGCTGGGGTCTCCCCCGCAACTTATCTTAGAATTTGGGGCTTCTAGGTGGCAGGGAATCAGAGTTTAGCCCAGTATTTGGCACATGGGAAGTATTCTAAAAATATCGCTGATGGTTGTTAAACAACTCCTGTTGTCATTTAACCGCTATTATCCGCAAAGCAGCTCATTTCGTCTGTCTATTGTTGCTGGCTGTGACTCAATCTCTCTGGTTGCCCTTTAACTTACTCCCCATTTGTCCCCTACAGAGATGCTGCCCCAACTCCCTTAGGCCCAAGGGATCAGGAGCTATGAGGCCAGAGGCCCTCTCATCTCTACTACTGTTGCTTTTCTTGGTGGCAACTGGAGATGCTGATATGAAGGGACATTTTGACCCTGGTGAGGAGACTGGCTCCTGGGTCCCTGAGGGATGGGGCTTGGGGGACAGAGAGTCAGGGGCCTTGACCGTCTGTGTGCCTGTAATCACCTAGCCAAGTGCCGCTATGCCCTGGGCATGCAGGACCGGACCATCCCGGACGGGGACATCTCTGCCTCCAGCTCCTGGTCAGACTCCACCGCTGCTCGTCACAGCAGGTACCTGGCACACTGAGGCTGCCCCGGAGGGAACTCCTGGGGTTTCTATTTGCCCTTCCAACCCCTCTCCCAAGTCAAGAGGCTTCTGAAAGGGCCAATGCCAAGGAAACCCCGTGGTCCTGGGGAGGCGGGCTTTAAATATTTGAGCCAGAGGCAGACGTAGGGCCAGATGTTCTCTGTGATCTCCTGCCCCGCCCTAGGCTGGAGAGCAGCGACGGGGATGGGGCATGGTGCCCTGCAGGGCCAGTCTTTCCCAAGGAGGAGGAGTACCTGCAGGTGGACCTGAGGCGGCTGCACCTGGTAGCTCTGGTGGGCACCCAGGGGCGGCACGCTGGGGGCCTGGGCAAGGAGTTCTCCCCCAGCTACCGGCTGCGTTATTCCCGGGACGGCCACCGCTGGATGGACTGGAGGGACCGCTGGGGTCAGGAGGTGAGGCTGGCAAGAACAGCACCCGGGAAGGGTGGCTCTCCTCTTTTCTCCAGCTATACTTTAAATGCCACCTATCCACTGATGATTCTCCAGTTCATACCCTCATACCCTCACAAGCCTTTCCCCCTTAGCTGCGTCTGGTGTTGCAAACCAGACCACCGTCTGGGGCTTTTCCATCTAAATATCTAATGGGTGTCTTGAACTTACCATCAACTTCCCAAGCTGAACTGGAGCCTCATTCCCACCCCACGTCTGTTCCACCCCTCTGTGTTCTGCAGCTCAGGAAATGGTAACGCCACACACCCATTTGTTCAGGCCATGAGCTAAGATGATATCCCTGACTCCTCTTCTTCTCTCACCTCCTACTTCCAAAGTGTCAGCAAAGCCAGTCTGTTCTTCCTCCGTGTTGTTTCCTGAATCGGACCACTTCCTACCAACTCCACCTCCACTGCCCTAGGTGGGGCCCCATCATCCCCACCACCATCCCAGCTTAGATGAAGGCCTGCTATAGTCTCCAAACTGTTCTTCCTGCTTCTGCCCTTTCCCGTCTGAAGTCAGATCTTGCCCTAGAGGATACATTCAGGATACCTTAGAAAGTGCAAGTCACCTGGCTCACAGACCTCCGCTGGTTCTCCACTCTGCCAGAACACAAGCTAAGCTCCTTCCTGAGTGCAAAAGCTTGGCCTGCCCTGGCCCTTGCTGCATCTCTTACTCCTGTCTCCTGTTCTTGCTCCACCTGGGCCACACTGGTTTTCTCGCTCTTCCTGGGACAAGCTAGGCCTCATCCCACAGCTTCAGGACATTTTGCTTGCTGTTCTCTGTGCCTGGATAGTTCCTCCCAACCCCCACACGTCCATAGGCTCTCCGTTACTCTATTCAATTCTTCTCCCACATGTCACCTCTTCAGAGAGCCTTTTCTGACCACGCCACCTCCTATTGCTCCAGTCCCACACTCTGCCTCTTGTTTTTCACAGCTGTTTCTTCTCTGAGACTCAGTCTTACAGTAGAGGGGCTGGTGCTCACCACTGAGAATGTGCCTGGCTGCTGCAGAGCAAGCGCTGGGCCAATGCCCGTGGAGTGAACAGAGGGGATAGGGAGAAGCTGAAGCAGGGGGGCGCAAAGCTGTGTGGACTGGGTGGAATCTAGTACAACAGGATGAGTGTCTTTGAGACAAATAGATGGAGCCAGGCAAAGAGTGGGAGAGCTGACACTGGAGTAGGAGGATGGGCCATAGGGCTAAGAGAGGTGTCAGAGGTCTCTGCTGCAGCCCCTCATTTCACAAACGTCTGGCAGCCCCACAGCCCACATGCTCAGTGTTACCCTTCAGAGATCTTTGTGTGCCATTGTGGGCTGGGCCAGGGAGCAGCTGGTGACAGGGAAGTTAGATCTGACCTGGAGCTTTTCTCACCCATCCACCCTGTTTCCTGGTCCACAGGTAATCTTAGGTAATGAGGACCCTGGGGGAGTGGTGCTGAAGGATCTTGGGCCCCCCATGGTGGCACGACTGGTTCGCTTCTACCCCCGAGCTGACCGGGTCATGAGCGTCTGTCTGCGAGTAGAGCTCTATGGCTGCCTCTGGAAGGGTGAGTTGTTGAAGGGCTTATCCCCCTGAGAATGCATTTCCTGTTCTGGGTACTGGAGGGGAAATAGGGGACTGGGGAGAGGGGCATCCAGGATCCTATCTCCCACTGGAAAGCTGTCACTCAGAGTGAGGAGAGGACTGGCCAATATTGCTTTCTCCATGCCAATGGGCCTGTGGAGGGGTTATAAGAAAGTAGACTGATGCAGGGGTGGGAGTCAGAGGCTCTGTGCCTCTTACACCCCTCCTTCCACCCTGCCCCAGATGGACTCCTGTCTTACACGGCCCCCGTGGGGCAGACGATGTACTTAGCTGAGGCTGTGCACCTCAACGACTCCACCTACGATGGACACACCACACACACTGTTGGCGGGTGAATGAAGCAGGCCCTGCAGGACAATGAGCCCGGGATGGGAGGGAGGACGAAGAGGGTGGGGTGGGGGTTGCTAAGTAGTTTGGGCAGTGAAATGGATGAATGGGGAGGGAGATGGGTTAAGTGGGGTCTCAAGGGACAGGACTAGGATTGAAGAGGTAGCAAGGCGACCACTAGCTCATGTGACACTTTGTGCAAATTAGAAAAAGAACCCCTTTGGTAACACGTCTGTTGGAAATTGTCATAATAAACACACATATAATAGGATGAATGATGTGTGCTTTGTGTGGCATAGGACTCAAACTACCTGTTATAGTTCTGGGGGTGAGAAGAGAGCTGCATGAAATTGGGGTGAGGGGCTGGGCCAGGCAGTCCAGGCCACTACCTGGGTGGGGTTGCAGAGTACCTGGATAGGTGACACTTTCTTTTCTTCCAACCTCCTCTTTCTCGGTCCCCTCCTCTCCAGGCTGCAGTATGGAGGTCTGGGCCAGCTGGCAGATGGTGTGGTAGGGCTGGATGACTTTAGGAAGAGCCAGGAACTGCGGGTCTGGCCGGGCTATGACTATGTGGGATGGAGCAACCACAGTTTTCCCACTGGCTATGTGGAGATGGAGTTTGAGTTTGACCGGCTGAGGGCCTTTCAGGCTATGCAGGTGAGTGTGTCCAGCTCCCAGGGAGGGCTCTGAGACCAGGGTGGGTGCCCTTGGGGTGCTTGCCCAGGTTCTCCTGGCCTTGGCCCTATGTTCCTCTTCCTTTCACTCTAGGTCCACTGTAACAACATGCACACCCTGGGAGCCCGCCTGCCTGGCGGCGTGGAGTGCCGCTTCAAGTGGGGCCCAGCCATGGCCTGGGAGGGAGAACCTGTGCGCCATGCCCTGGGGGGCAGCCTAGGGGACCCTAGAGCCCGGGCTGTGTCAGTGCCCCTGGGCGGCCGCGTGGCCCGCTTTCTGCAGTGCCGCTTTCTCTTTGCTGGCCCTTGGTTGCTCTTTAGTGAGATCTCCTTCATCTCTGGTAAGCCCCTGATGTAGTCCCAATTCCCAACCTCTGGGACTGCCAACCCCTCCGAACTCTAAGATATCCACCTCTGGCACCACATCTACCCATCACCCATGAGACTTCCCAACCAGGAGAGGCTCAAATAATTGGAACCTCTCTCTCCCCCTATTCCCCCACCTGCTTCTGTCTTTTTTTTGTGAGCCTCTCATTCAGCACTGATGTTGAATCAGTATGACTGTTAAAATAATGAAATATTCTGTGCTGTTTGGGAAATTGCCTCCCGATACTGATATCTCCACCCTGGGCCCTGCATTTCCCCACAATCTAGCAACTAAAGGGTTAACATCCACCACAGCCAGGTACCTCCAGACCCCTAGAGCCCTGTTCCCACCACTCATTCTGATTGGTTGGGACAGGTTCTCACCCAATGATAATGACTGAGTTCCCTAAATCTCCTGCAAGTACACCTCCCTGTGGCTCAACTCCCTAATTTGACTCCCTTTCTTCCTTCTCCCCAGATGTTGTGAATGACTCCTCTCTGGCTCTGGGGGGCACCTTCCCACCAGCTCCCTGGTGGCCGCCTGGCCCACCTCCCACCAACTTCAGCAGCTTGGGTGAGCAGCCCTGGGGCCTCCTCCTGGTATGGGTCCTGTGCCACTTGGTCCTCCCTGGGCACCCCACAGCTTGGGTGGGAAGCCGCCTGCCATTCTGACTCTCTTGCCTCTGCCAGAGCTGGAGCCCAGGGGCCAGCAGCCCGTGGCTAAGGCTGAGGGGAGCCCGACCGCCATCCTCATCGGCTGCCTGGTGGCCATCATCCTCCTGCTGCTGCTCATCATCGCCCTAATGCTCTGGCGGCTGCACTGGCGCAGGCTTCTCAGCAAGGTGGGTGGATGCTGCGGCTAGACGAGGAAGCCACGTGGGTCCATCAGGGACCCAGAACAGTATCTAATTAGAATAACTGGAGGAGGGCTGAATAAAGAGACCACTTACAAAGGTGTGGGTGGGGCGCATGGGCATCAAGTAGAGTAGTGTTGTTCCCCATGGCTAGTCACCACAGAATGGTCATTATCGGGGCAGCTTGGCGAGAGGAGGTGGCACTTACCAGAACCTAGGGGAGTGAGTCTGTAGAGAGGGCCCCTTGAGGGGGCAGTGGACTTTGGTTCAGGAATGCAGCTTGCCTTAGTCTACCACTCAGGGAGGGCCTGGGAGAATAATCACTCCGACCTCACTTTCCACTGGCCCTCCAAACTGCTGGGTCTCCTCTCTGGCCAACCCATACCCAGCCTGTCTGTGTAGTCCACACTGGTCAGCCAGTTGGGGCAGAAGCTGGGTGGGAAAAGGTGGAGAGTGGAGCTGGAGGAGCAACTAGAAGGAGTCTGGCACACCCCAAACATGTCTTTCGGGTGAGAGTCCCATGGTGGTGATATGCATTAAAATTGATAATTATGGTCAGATTTGGGTGGAGTATTACAGAACTCACTTAAAAGCTTTTGAGCCTGTTTCTTTACCTGTGAAATGAACAGTAGATACAGCTTTAGGACTGCTGAGAAGACCGAAGGAGAGAACGTGGGTATAACATTTAACAAAGAGCTGAGATGTGCGTGATAAGCAGTAGCACAATTCACGTTTCCCTTTCCCCATGACAAGGCTGAGCGTCGGGTATTAGAAGAGGAGCTGACGGTTCATCTCTCTGTCCCTGGAGACACCATTCTTATCAACAACCGCCCAGGCCCTCGGGAGCCACCCCCTTACCAGGAGCCCCGGCCTCGTGGGAATCCACCCCACTCTGCTCCCAGTGTGCCCAATGGCTCTGGTAAGACCTGCCTTGTTCCAGTTCTGCCTCTGTCCTCTCTGCCTGTTTTCTTATTGTGTTTCTTTCCCACTCCTTTCCCATTCCCTTCTTTTTTTATCTTCCCCAGTTTCAACTCATTTTCTTATTTCCGTGCCCCTGGTCACCACCCACTATATCATTCAATTTCCCTACCGTATAATGTCCCTCAAGAATTTCCCATGTGTTACCCAAAATCCCCAGGGTCTCATACTGTCTCTATGTCCCATCTTCTCTGTTGTGCCCTCTCATTGTGTCTTCCTGGCCCCTTTCCTTTCTCCTAGACTCACCATGTCCCTCCTTTCCTGCCTCCCTCCCTCTCGCCCTTCCTTCTTTCCTTCCACCATCAATCCCTCCATCCCTCTATCCCTCCTTCCCTCCCTCTGTCTATCATTTATCATTTATCTGTCCATCCATCCATCCATCCATCCATCCATCCATCCATCGCTCTCCAGATCCTTGTTTTATCCTGTCTTTCAATATATTCGTTCCATCAGCCCCGGTCTTGCCCTATTCCAGGTCTCCCTGTCTGTCTAGCCTGAGTCTCATCCCTTCCCCGTGTCTCCCCACCTCCTTCTCCCGACAGCGTTGCTGCTCTCCAATCCAGCCTACCGCCTCCTTCTGGCCACTTACGCCCGCCCCCCTCGAGGCCCGGGCCCCCCCACACCCGCCTGGGCCAAACCTACCAACACCCAGGGTAAGCCCCTCTGCCCCTGGGCTATGCCAGGCTCCCCGTACCTCTACTGGGGCAGGGAAAAGTCCTCATACCTTGCACTCCCTCCTCTTCTCACTGTGGCCTCTTCTGCTCTCCTGAGTTTCCATGGAGGACGCTCTTGTGCCTTTAGCTCTCCTCTGCTGCTGCTTGCTCCTTTTTAAGGCCTCCCCTTGAGCTGAGGAGTAGAAAGCTCACTGGTTCTCAGCTCTGTCCCTCTTCTCCTCTTCCACCCCATCTCTTCAGCTGTCCAGATCCAGAGAGGAGGTTTCGGTGGTGGCCCCAGGTTCTCTTGTGACTCCTCCTTTGTTCTCCCCTCTCTCTAGAGCTGCAAGGAGGAGGGCCTCTCACCCTGGGTGCTTGCCCTCTTCCCCCATGTTTCCTCTCTACAGTCCCAGAGGCGAAGGCTCACGCCCCTGCCCTTTCTGTCTGCTCTTCCTCTCCTTGGTGTTGCCTTCTCATTGTCAGCCCTTCTCCAGGGCTAAGAGGGGACAGCTCTGCCTCCTCTCCTCTGTCTGTACACCCCTTGTTGTGCGAGCCATGAAGAACTGTTCCCCTCTCCTCTCTCTGTGTGCCCTCGTCTCTGCTTGTCTTTGAGCTTGGTGTATTGGGTCACGGAGGGTTTGGGTAACTGTGGCCGGGAGGAAGAGCCAAGGCTTAAAGTGGTGGGAGGTGGTAGAAAAGGAGGAAAACAGCTACGCGAAAGGGAGGGGCTGGCAGTGAATGGGACAAAAGTTTGGAAAGTAGAAGGTGATGGGATGGCTGGCACCATTCTTCTTCTGATGGTGGGTAGAGGAATTCTCTTCCAGACAAGACTTTACCTCATGGTTTCCTGGGCTATACTGGGATCCCTAGAGAATAAGACTTTATAATATTCTTTGTTCAGCCATCTCCAGTATCTCGAAAACTCTGAAACAGCTAAATCTCATCCCATGCCAGCATCTTCTCTGGTTTGAGGTTGGTGGGTGAAATACCAGGAAGATGATGGAGAGTAGACCCAGTCTCTCACCCAACTGGGAGACAGGGCACCTCTGGGAGGCTGGAGTGTGGAGACCCATGGTTCTCGGGTTGCTCCTGATACCTCTTCCTGTCTTCTTTCCCTCACCCCTCCAGCCTGCAGTGGGGACTATATGGAGCCTGAGAAGCCAGGTGCCCCGCTTCTGCCCCCACCTCCCCAGAACAGCGTCCCTCATTATGCCGAGGCTGACATTGTCACTCTGCAGGGCGTCACCGGGGGCAACACTTACGCTGTGCCTGCGCTGCCCCCAGGGGCAGCCGGGGATGGGCCCCCCAGAGTGGATTTCCCTCGGTCACGGCTCCGCTTTAAGGAGAAGCTTGGTGAGGGCCAATTTGGGGAGGTAAGGAGGACCCCTGCCAGCCATCAGTAGTGTCTGACTCTATCTGGGGCTCTGACGCCATACTCAGACATCCCTCCTGGTCAGGAACCTGTCATCTGTGACAATATTATCCTAGTTGACCTTGGTGAATTGTGTGACCATCTAGCAAATGACCTTCTTTCTCCAGGTGCACCTGTGTGAGGTAGAGAGCCCTCAAGATCTGGTCAGTCTCGATTTTCCCCTTAATGTGCGCAAGGGACACCCCTTGCTGGTAGCTGTCAAGATCCTACGGCCAGATGCCACCAAGAATGCCAGGTGAGGATCAGGGACGGCATCTGGAAGAAGGGAGGGAAGGCCATGAAGAGCAGAGAGTGATCTAGAGAGAAATGTGGTAGAGACAACAGAGGGGTGTCTGGGGAAGGAGGTTTACAACTCAGGCTCCCACATCACCAGTGAGTCAGTGCGTATGCCGGGGTAGGGTGCTAGTTTGTGTGAGCCGGCGGGGGAAGGTATAGGTCAGCCCCTCAGTGTCCACACTACCTTCTCCCTGCCTCTCCAGGAATGATTTCCTGAAGGAGGTGAAGATCATGTCGAGGCTAAAGGACCCAAACATCATCCGGCTCTTGGGCGTGTGTGTGCAGGATGACCCCCTCTGCATGATTACCGATTACATGGAGAATGGTGACCTTAACCAGTTCCTCAGTGCCCACCAGCTGGAGGACAAGGCGGCTGAGGGGGCCCCTGGGGATGAGGAAGCTGCCCAGGGACCCACTATCAGGTACCTACTTACCCAGGCTGGCCCTTACGTGAGAGCTCCCAAGAGGATCTCCTTCTCTCCCCTTGCTCCAGCCTGGTGGCACAGAGGGGAGCATGGGTGAAGAGGCAGGTACGAGTTCCAGGAGGGGTCTTGGGATGAGGAGCATGTTTATCCATGAGCTTGAGGGACAGAGATGACTACAGTGAGGGTGCCAAAGGGACTTGGACCCTGTTAGGAATTTCTTCATGCCTTCTGTTACCCTTACTGCCCAAGTCTGGATCAGGGAGCGTAATAAAAGTGGTAGCTCCCTGGGGCTTGATGAGCCAAAGAAAAGTTGAGTGGGCAACTACTTGCTGGCCTCCACCTGCGCCTTCCATCTTTGCACCAGGAGTTGGGAATCTGTGAGGTGGGGATGAGCCCGGGGTTGCCCCAGTGACCTTTCTTCTTTGGCTCCCTTACTTAGCTACCCAATGCTGTTGCACGTGGCAGCCCAGATTGCCTCAGGGATGCGCTATCTGGCTACACTCAACTTTGTGCATCGGGACCTGGCCACAAGGAACTGCCTGGTTGGGGAAAATTTCACTATCAAAATTGCCGACTTTGGCATGAGCCGGAACCTCTACGCCGGGGACTATTACCGCGTGCAGGGCCGGGCGGTGTTGCCCATCCGGTGGATGGCCTGGGAGTGCATCCTTATGGTGAGAGGCTAGAGAGAGGCAGGCAGGGCAAGGGAGCACTGGCTACCCCTTGAAGCCCTGTGATCTCATTCATTCACTTGCTTTTCCTGGACTGCCGTTTCCTCATCTGTAAAGTGAGGGTTTGGTCAATGCTCTATAAGATTCCCTCTGGCTCAAGGGACTGGAGAAAGCAGGGAGGTATGGCATGATGGGGAAGGGTCCGGAAGCCAAGAGATGGAGTCTGGGTGGCAGAGAGCAAGAGTGACAAAGGGAGAGATGAGGCCAGTGATAGAAAGGGATGAGTTGGGAGCTAGTCAGGACCAGAAAATGGAGGGGCAGGAAGGAGGATAGAAAAGGGAAGACATGTGAGAGAGGACTAGAGTCTGAGAAAGAAGGCAGAGCCCAAGGGAGGGAAGGGCAGGATTATTGGGAAAAAGAGCCAGCTGAGGAGACTGGAGCACCCAGGGTTGGGAGGGAGTCAGGCCTGGGGAAATGCTGAGTGGACGTGGCCTCCTTGGGGAAGGGAGGAGGGTCTATGTTGCCTGATGCCTTTCTCTGCCTTTGTTGCCTTATCCATGAACTAGGGGAAGTTCACCACTGCAAGTGACGTGTGGGCCTTTGGGGTGACCCTGTGGGAGGTGCTGATGCTCTGCCGGGCCCAGCCCTTTGGGCAGCTCACTGATGAACAAGTCATTGAGAACGCAGGGGAGTTCTTCCGGGACCAGGGCCGGCAGGTCAGAGCAGAGGGGAGGGAAGATGGGGCAAGGGGACTGGGAGGGCCAGAGCCTGTCATCTTGGGGACTAAAGAACATTTGTTCCCTGCCTTTTGTCCACACTGCTGCATAATGTAGGTGTACCTGTCCCGGCCATCTGCCTGCCCACTGGGCTTGTATGAGTTGATGCTTCGGTGCTGGAGCCGGGAGCCTGAGCAGCGACCACCCTTTTCCCAGCTGCATCGGTTCTTGGCAGAAGACGCACTCAACACAGTGTGAATCAACACCCAGCTGCCCCTCCCTCAAGGAGGATTCAGGGGAAGCCAGGAGCACTAAACAAGAGGAGCTAATGGCACTCCCACTTTCCCTTCCAACCACCCTTCACCTCTGAGAGAGGGGCAGTGTGATCACAACAGGTAGGCTGGGCCTGCCAGGGAGCTGATGAC